GAACTCCTTCTACTCGGATTAACAGGTAATTAGTAATAAAATTAATTATTTAACTAATATATAAAATTATTAAAAAAATACAAAATAATTATCTTAAATCATTTTCCTAAAAGTAAAACCCTATTAAAAAATTGCTGATTATGATTAAAAACAATTACCGAGAAAAAAAAAAAAGAGATCTGATAAGTGAAAACACTTACCGCTATCGCCGCAGGTAACGACGCGTGTCAAAGAATCCTTGACGGCATATACGGCAAAAACGTAGAGCCCACAATTAACAGAAATCTCGTACGACAATTTACTAACTCCTGATCTCTCTCCAGCACCACCCCTCTCCTCCATCGCCCTGTGCTTCACTCGCTCACTTACTTGCCCCTCGCCAAAAATCCTTTCTCGAAACTTTTTTTCTCTTCTGTAGATACTCTGATCATATACAATGACGGATACCACAGACGATATAGCGGAGGAAATCTCGTTCCAGAGCTTCGATGATGACTGTAAGTTGCTCGGAAATATGCTCAACGATGTCTTGCAGAGAGAAGTAGGAAGCGATTTCATGGAGAAGCTCGAGAGGAATCGAGTTCTCGCTCAGGTTTGGATGCTCTCTTGGTCAATCTTTTTCTCCCTTGTTCTGTCGTTTGATTCTGCTTCTTCCGTGAAAGTGTCCTTTTCAGGAAATGTGATCGTGCTGAAAACACGTTTTGATCTGTTTATTGATCTGTTTTTTTATGAGAATTCGCAGATAGTTTCGTTTTTTCGATTCTGCATGTTATTTATTAATGTTATGATCCTGTTGTTTTAGGAAAAAAGAGACTGAAAAGAACGACTACTTATAAAATGGAAATTTGATCATCTCGATTCTGCATATTCTTCATTAATTTATTCTTTCAAAGTTTTGTTGTGATCTTGTTGTGTGATTGAGCAAATAAGACTGGAAAAAAGAACAATTAATGGTAAAATGAAAATTAAACAAAGGCAAATGGTCATTTTGCCTCTTATCTATTTGTTTTAAGTGTTTTCTGTTTCCTTTGTATTCGATTCACTTATTATTTTGAAGTTTTTGGATCTTCCCATCTGGTTGCTGAAAAAGTAGTGGAAATGAAGCAAAGCCAGGGAGGAAGTTATGTTTTCTGATGTTGTTAATAAAACAGGAAAAAATTTGAGATTATTTCAATTGTATGCCTTTTTTTTTTTTTTTTTGCGGCATTTGTTTGTTTGGTCGTGATGCTTTTTAGAAAAATACAAACCGAATCAGCACTTAGTTCCCTGTATGTCTCGTTTAAAATTCTGGTTTTCATGGCATAGGTGAAAACTGAATAGCCTAGGACTTCAGATTTTATGTTTACTTTTCTTTTCTACATTTTGCCAGCAACAAACTGAGGTAAAAGATTTGTTGAGAATGATTTTTTTAATACTCTTTTCATGTCTCAGAGTGCTTGCAATATGCGGCTGGCTGGGATAGAGGATACAGCAGAGCTGCTAGAGAAACAGTTGGCAACAGAGATATCAAAGATGACATTAGAGGAAGCTTTGACACTGGCTCGGGCATTCAGTCATTATCTCAATTTGATGGGAATTGCTGAGACTCATCATCGGTATTTGTGTCTGCCTATCAGTTATGTGTTAAAAGGAAATTATATTATTTTTTTCTGGCTTAAGTGGTACTAAATGATCATGATGCAGGGTTCGTAAGGGACGAAGTGTTACACATCTGTCAAAATCTTGTGATGACATTTTCAGCAAATTGGTGCAGGGTGGAGTTTCCCCAGATGACCTCTACAACACTGTTTGCAACCAGGTCTCTTTTTATTAGTGATTTTATTTCTAATTTTCTTTAGTGTTTTATAATTTTTCTATATTAAAAGTTATAAATTAGGAAAATGAAATGAGCGTTACCAAATCCCATTGCTTAATGATAATAGTGATGTTCATCCATGTTTGTGGAGCTTCTCTTACATGCTCAAATAAAAGTAGAACTTCTTTTCCTTTCCACTTTTCTATAGAACCAGGTAGAGAGTAATAAACTTGCATAATTAACTGCCGGCAGGTTTAAGAGCCATGCAGTTTTTATCCCCGTGTTCTTAACTGCTAATTCTTTTTGCTGCAGGAGGTTGAGATTGTTCTTACTGCACATCCCACTCAAATCAATCGTCGTACCTTACAATATAAACACATGAGAGTAGCAGTAAGTTTTTAATTGGTATTTTGAATGTTGAGTTAGAGGTATGTACTGAATAAGAGCCTCTCCTTCTTTGCAGCATCTTTTAGACTATAATGACCGACCTGATCTTGGTCATGAAGATCGAGAAATGCTAATTGAAGATCTGGTATTATTCCCCAGTGTATCTTTTCCTCTACAGTGCTCTTTATTTCCTTCCTTTTCTCATGGATTTTTGATTGAAGTTCATCTGGCATTTTTAGGTGAGAGAGATAACATCCATATGGCAGACAGATGAACTTAGACGCCATAAACCTACACCAGTAGATGAAGCTAGGGCTGGTATTACTTGACACTTACATTTATTGCACGCATTGTTTCTTGTAAAAAATTTATATTTCACACCTACAAGTTATTAAAATTTTATATTTTGTTATCAGGCTTGAACATTGTGGAGCAATCCCTTTGGAAAGCTGTACCTCATTACTTACGACGTGTCAGCAATGCTCTAAAGAAAGTAAGATATCAATTTGTGGTTGTAAGCTATGGGGGGAGATACAGGCTTTATTTGGCTTTCTCAATCTAATAATACATTGTTCTCATTTTATTTCATTCCAGCATACGGGAAAGCCACTTCCACTCAGATGCACTCCGATAAGGTTTGGGTCTTGGATGGGGGGTGATAGAGATGGAAATCCAAATGTCACAGCAAAGGTAGGGCTTCTAATGTCTTCTTAGATTTCAGATTTTTTCAGTAGATGTTGTTATGCAATAGTATAATTCAAGGCCTTTTACAAGCTTCCTAATTTGTTTGATTGATAGTGAACATGAGAAATCTATGGCTTTGTAAATTCTTTGTTATTGCTATAGAATACCAGCATTTTGATGAAGACTTTATGTCTGTACATTTAAACTGGGTAAGTAAGAAAGAAGAGTTTTGGTTAATTGCTTCCTTTTTTAAAAAAAAAAAAAAAAATCAGGTGCACTTTATTTTGTCACCATGATCTTGATCCCTTACACAATTCTGTCTGATAATTTGTAGCCTCCCAACTTTTATAATTTATTCTATTTTCCTCAAATCAAATTAAACACACACACACATATTCAGGACAGGAGCATGCATGTGACTGTAGTATTAATGGTGTTGTCACACTGCATCCTTTAGAGCTGCTCTATTCTATTAGAATTTAGTAGTTGCATTTTTGTTTTCCTCAGTGTCCCCCAGAGGCATGGCTTTGGGGTTTTCTAGATTGGTACCTTCCTTACACTTAGGCTCCATTTTCCATTTGGTCTAGATTATCAGTTTGTAAAATTCAAACTTAACCTTGAACCAGCTCTAAAAACCAATCTTTATAGTTTTAATCTGAAGGATGCATTTGTGTTTCTGAGAATCATTTCTTTTTGGGACAGGAAAGAATCAATCACACTTTGCTTTGTTAGTTGACTAGAATCATTTTCACAATTGACTCAGATGTCATCAAGCACTCTAGTCATTGTTTGAGACTTCATTTCAATAACTATGATTTCTGTTCGCTAGAAATTTTTTGATTTCACAATTTAGCACTTGATGTTATCACATAGGTTCTCTTTTCTCATTGTTACAGGTGACAAGAGATGTTGCTCTTTTATCTAGGTGGATGGCCATTGATCTTTATATCCGAGAAATTGATGGTCTCAGATTTGAGCTGTCCATGAGTCAATGCAGTGATAGGTTGTTTAGATTGGCTCATGAAATTCTAGAAAAAGGTTTGAGCCATATTGCTTGTTCAAATTATTTACAGCATAAAAATGAGTGCTTAGGATTTTGTGGTTATTATTACTTTTAATCTAATCTTATGCTAATTGAGAATTAGCTTATTTTGTAGACTATGGTTACTAGGAAATTCCGAGAGAATGGATCACCTATCAGCCAAAATTTTTCGTTAGGCACATCCACTTTGATACCAGCTTCAAAATACTGTATAAAAAACCTATGTACATATTAATATGCCAATAATAAATTTTTTATGCTTATTAACTGATGAAGTGATTTGTTAGCACAATGAATACAGGGGAATCTGAGGTTTCTATTATTTTTTGACTATCAAGTCACTGCAGGCATTTAGCTATATTTTCTATCTACTTGTTTATGCTTAAGATGGTGATGAATATCTTGAGTAGTTAGATCATCATGAAGTGTGAAAACTTGATGATTTGGAAGATAGTGCCACCGTGATTTATTATAAAGGGGGAGAAATTGTAGAGCTATGGATGGCATGAATTATTTGGCAAATTGGCTCAAATCCATGAAATTGGCATGGATTTTTAATCTTAGGCTTTTCAGAGTATCCCTCTCATTCTCTGTATAACACTGTTTTACCCTAATGGTTTTAAGATGTCAAATGTTTCTGCATTGAATGATGTTAATCTTTCTTGATTTTTCTGAATCTCTAATTGTTTTTCTGCTTCAAAGATTTAATTTTAAGTCAAATTCTCTACAGAAACTTCATCAGATGATCGTCATGAGAGTTTGACTCAACCTTATGGTCGAAATCAACTGAAGTTTCATGGCCATCAGACTTCATCCCTTCCTACCCAACTTCCTCCTAGAGCAGATCTACCTGCCTGCACTGGTAAAAGATAAAACTGATTTTGGTCTTTTAATTTAAAAAGACACATGATTTATTCATTCATCTATTCCATTCAAAAGATCTGTTTTTTTTCCTCTACTTGTTATCATGTTTGAAGTCTGGTGGGTTAAGTTCCCAATGCCTTAGTCTAACCCTTTTTTTTTTCTTTTTTTAATATCTGGAATAAAAACTTGTGATGATGCATGAGAATATCAACCTTTACTTCCTTGCTGATAGTTCCATCCAACTTCTCTGTTCTTATAGATTGCGATGATGGCGAATCTCTCTATCCCAAACTGGAACTTCCTCGGACTGATTACATGCCCTTGAATCGCCAGGTGAAAGCAGCTGGAGCTTGATATTCCATGTTTAATTTCTTTCGGTTTCTCAGATGCTTCTTTCTGTTGCATCATAGCAAACAATTTCTCAGTCTTTTTACTTTTACTTTTTTTGTCTTACCTCAATTTTTAGGATGGTAAGGGATTGTTGGGCTCAGAAACCAGACAAAATATAAGCAAATCATTTGCCAATGGAAGTACTTCTCCACAGTCAGCTGCAGGGCAAAGGGGGTCTTTCTCACCTAGTCAACTTGTTGCTCAAAGGAAACTATTTGCAGAATCTAAAATAGGAAGGTCCAGCTTCCATAAGCTTCTTGAGCCGAGCTTGCCTCAATTTCCTGGAATTGCTCCTTACCGAATTGTTCTTGGAAATGTGAAAGAAAAGGTATTGTTTCTCTCATAAATGATTCTGAAATTGGTATATGTGATAGCTTGGATAAAAAGCTATTTAATTGAAAAGAAGCAATACCATTCAGTCTTTTTAGATTTGTTGTCTTGATATTAAGGTACCATCTTTTGATATGCTACTTGTTATCATTAATAAGCTTTCTTTCCACGGTGAGACAGTAAATTTGGGTTTGATGGCCTGTGATTTCAGCTTATGAAGACACGAAGACGGCTGGAACTTCTTCTTGAGGATCTTCCTTGCGAATGCGATGCTTGGGATTACTATGAAACAACAGATCAACTTCTAGAACCACTGCTTTTATGCTATGAGTCCCTGGTAATATGTCACTTCTGCTAATAAGCCTCAGATGGAAAAAGAAATTTTATAGTGTGGTCCCAAAATCTAATACTGTTCTGCAATAATCTTTTCTTTTTGAAGCAATCATGCGGTGCCAGTGTTCTAGCTGATGGTAGACTTGCTGACCTGATCCGCAGAGTTGCTACCTTTGGGATGGTGTTAATGAAGCTTGACTTGCGACAGGTTCCTTTTGTTTTAGTTCATATTCAGAGACATATCAATGCTATGAGTTTTAACTTCAAATTTTTTGTATGTACCAGGAATCTGGGAGGCATGCTGAAACGCTAGATGCTATTACCAGATATTTGGATATGGGAACTTACAGTGAATGGGATGAAGAGAAAAAAATTGAATTTTTAACAAGAGAACTGAAAGGGAAGCGACCTCTTGTTCCTCCTTCTATAGAAGTAAGGTGTTTCAACAGTATTAAATTGACAAGTGATTCTCAGCATGATCATCTTTTAATATCCTTAAATTGAATTCTTCATTTATAAAAATATAAAAGCTGTTGGTTTTCATATTTTTATCTTTTCTTTGATTTTAATAAGTAATCATGCATTTGAATTCAAATTTCCAAAACTTTGGGTGGCTCCAAATCAATAAAAATATAAAAGCTGTTGGTTTTCATATTTTTATCTTTTCTTTGATTTTAATAAGTAATCATACATTTGAATTCAGATTTCCAAAACTTGGGGTGGCTCCAAATCAATAAAAAAATTACTCATTTGCTGAAGAAATAGCTTGCATAATCATCTTCAACTAGAATAACTAAGTTTACCCATAGAAATAGTATGGATTACAAATACTCTGGGCTATAAATGGAATCTTTTTCATTAGATAGAAATGTGTTTATAACTTTATATTGTTTTGTAAAAATGATATATAGATTTACCTATGGTTCATACAATTTTTTTCACAAACAAAAATTTGAAACTAACTGGAGGTGAGACTAGGTTATAGTTCAGTACACAAAATTGAGTTTCTTATGTATTCTGGGAAAATTAAAAGTGAAAGGGTAGTAATAAACAGTGTAAAGATTAACCACTATAAATTGGACAGGACAATGTTGAACCTTTTATGTCTTTTCCAGTTGAGTGGTTATAGTTGACATTGCTATCTAAGTCTTTGATTGATCTACTTGACAAAAAGTATACATGTATGTTTGTTTTAAGGGAATGGTTTGCATGAGTCTGCTTGCATAAATGTTGCTTTTGGTTGCTAGCATGGTGATACTTGCATTTATTGAGGCATTGCAAACATAGAATGTGTGTTGAATTGCTAATGCATCATGTAGTTGAATTGGGAAAGTGATACCCTCATTCCAACGAAATGGCATAATGATGACTTATTTTTATTCACCTATTTCTTCTCCTACGAACTGGTTATTTTTCAGGTTGCTCCTGATATTAAAGAAGTCTTAGATACCTTCAGAGTTGCTGCTGAGCTGGGGAGTGATTCTCTTGGAGCTTATGTGATTTCAATGGCATCAAATGTATGGCTAGCCAAAACTACTTTGCATTTTCAAATTATTTTCAACCTGTGCAACAAAAAGCAGAACTTCCTTATCTTTCCTTATTTACTGTCTGTGTGCGTGCATGCACTAATGTTTCTTTTTTTTTTTTTTGGGGGAGGGGGGTAGGTGTTGGTTGTGGATTTGCATGTTGTTTATTGAACTAGAACAAGTAATGTAATGTTACCTATCTTGCTTATTGCAGGCAAGTGACGTCCTTGCTGTGGAGCTTTTGCAGAAAGATGGCCGACTTGCAGTTAGTGGTGAGTTTGGTAGACCATGCCCTCCTGGAACGTAAGTTTTGCCCCTCAAAGATGTTGGTTTTGCCATCTAAGTTTCATATTCCTGGATTCTTGTATGTATAATATCACCTGATAATAAAAGAATCCATGTTGTTTTGTGTTTATCATTTATTATCACACTTCCTTTGAATTTGAAAGTTTATCATCTTTAATGGGTACCACCTTTTTGCCCATCATGAATGGTGTTACTTAGACTTTTGGCTAAAATATGTCTTTCTCCATGCACCATCAAGCGTAGTTACAATTATTTATATATTTACTAGGATGAAATACAGTTGACATTTGTGTCATAATGTTAACATATTTGGTCAAATGGTAAAAAGTTTAGCATGTCTTAGGCACACCCTTAATACATTTTAGATTGCACTTTACTCTTATGTCCTCACTATATTTACATATAATCTTTTGGGTAGGCTTCGGGTGGTTCCTCTATTCGAAACAGTCAAGGACCTTAGAGGAGCTGGTTCAGTGATTAAGAAATTGTTATCAATAGATTGGTACCGGGAGCACATCATAAGGAACCATAATGGGCATCAAGAGGTTTTAGCTATTTTCATATTAACTTCTTGGCAGTTCTAATATCTCTCAAATACTTATGATGTTATCATATGCAGGTGATGGTTGGATATTCTGATTCTGGTAAAGATGCTGGGCGCTTCACTGCTGCCTGGGAACTTTACAAGGCCCAAGAGGATGTTGTTGCTGCTTGCAATGCATTTGGTATTAAAGTGACCCTGTTCCATGGCCGAGGAGGGAGTATTGGTCGTGGTGGTGGCCCAACATATCTTGCCATACAGTCCCAACCGCCTGGTTCTGTAATGGTGAGATATTAATTTAATTTATTTCGTTGGGAAATCTAGTATTGATCTCCAGTTTTTAGTTTACCACATTTTATATTGATATTATGGTTCTCTCCAGACTCCAGTAATTAAAATCTAATGAATTAAAATATTTTATGTGATTAAATTGTGTCTCATCATAAACTTGTACCTATGCCAAAAAATCATAAAGCTCAGACGTGGTTATAACTGTTAACTTTACAGTATTAATCTTCTTTAATGTTTAAATGTCCATATCCGTGAGTTTTCGGGTAATTATTTTGTCTTTAGATTGGCCCCCTTTTTTTCACTGTGTTTTGTGTTTCTGCTGATTGTTAGTGGAGCTCTTGTAAACCACCACCAACTGGCAGAAGGGTCTTCTTTGGATTGGCTTTTTCCACTGTCTTCTGTATTTGACAATTTTCTCACTGGCCTGTTATGATATCAAATTGGCAGGGTACTCTTCGTTCAACAGAGCAAGGAGAGATGGTGCAGGCAAAATTTGGTTTGCCACAGACTGCTGTTAGACAGCTAGAGATATACACAACTGCTGTGCTCCTTGCAACCCTACGTCCGCCTCAACCACCCCGAGAAGAAAAATGGCGTAATCTCATGGAGGAGATTTCGAAAATCAGTTGCCAGAGCTACCGAAGCACCGTATATGAAAACCCAGAGTTCCTTGCCTACTTCCATGAGGCTACACCACAAGCCGAACTGGGCTTTCTTAACATAGGTAGCCGCCCCACAAGAAGAAAGGGCTCAACTGGAATTGGACATCTTCGTGCTATTCCATGGGTATTTGCATGGACCCAGACTAGATTTGTCCTTCCAGCCTGGCTCGGTGTTGGAGCAGGTTTAAAGGGTGTTTGTGAGAAGGGGCACACAGAAGACTTGAGAGCAATGTACAAAGAATGGCCCTTTTTCCAGTCTACCATAGATCTTATAGAGATGGTTTTAGGGAAGGCAGACATTCCAATCGCCAAGCAATATGATGAAGTGCTTGTGTCTGAGAGCAGGCGTGAACTCGGCGCTGCAATGAGGGGGGAGCTTATGACAACAGAAAAGTATGTATTGGTGGTTAGTGGGCATGAGAAACTATCCGAGAACAATCGGAGCTTGAGAAGGCTGATTGAAAGCAGGCTCCCTTATCTCAATCCAATAAACATGTTGCAAATTGAGATTCTTAAGAGGTTGAGACGCGATGATGATAACAACGAACTAAGGGACGCATTGCTCATCACTATAAATGGCATTGCTGCTGGGATGAGGAATACTGGTTAAGCCTTGCCATTCACAACTAAGCCCACTCTCAATCTATCTCTTGTTATGTTGGTACATGTAATGAGTTCAAGTTATTAAGTGTTTGTGAAAGAATATTTACACTCTGGGTTTCTTAATCACTGTAAAAATGAAAGCTTTGAGGCCTTTCAATTTAAAGTTATTGAACGTAGTGTGAAATGGAAGTTGCTTTGTTTCAGTGCACAACAGAAGGAAAGAGTATTATCATGCATGAGATCCCATAACATTATTACTGCCTTGCTGGCGCTGCCCGCTAATTGCCACATCAAGTGTATGTTACCTCTTTTTTTGTTAAATTATTTTTGGAACTGCAATGTATCCTTCCATTACTTTTTGTGTAAAGGTAAGCAGTAATTAATTTGTCTGCTTGTGCTTGGTGTTTCTGCTACATAATTGGTAAATTGGTCCTCTTCCCACTGCTTTTTTAAGGACGATAAATTTGTACCTCTGCACCATATATGGAATCTTATGTCCATATCTACTACCCCTGTCTCCTGCTTTTCAGTTTCCTTTTTTCTCCTGAATGCGAGGTGAAAGATGTATGTTCTCTAAAGAACATACCAAGCCCCTAGTTTTGTTGAGAACTGCTTCTGATAATTGAAGCCTTCCTCAAGCAAGCTAACGCAGCATCGAAAGATTAACCCCCCCCTTTTCTTAGTGCTTTCCAGCCTTATTTTGAATCTGGGTTGAAGCTTTTCTGGGCAACAGTTATCGTGGACTAGTCCAAAAGCTTGTCGTGCCTTGTCTGTTGCAGGAGGTGAGTGGGGGAAGTCTTTTCTGTTCTTTTGTTGGATTCTCACTTCCATTAACAATCTCTTACGTGCAAATGCATATGATCCAATGCTACCCAAACCTGCCTAACTTATGCACTTCTACTTCAATTCCGTTGTGATTTCTCTTCCCTGTTAGACTGTGCTAAAAGGGGATATTATTGGTCTAGCACTCCCCTTTTGTTCAGAGAAACATATTCAAGAATAGAACAATATAGTGCTCCACCTCCCTGCCATCCTAACCAAAAGATTCTTGATTTGGGGTTTAAATCAGGAAGAGAAATTTGAGAAAAGTTAGGAGTATGATTATGGACGAAATGGTGCTAACCAAGAACTGAATAATACGAACGATCTATCAATTTGAATGAAAAAATTTAATTATTTTAAATAAAATTTTAAATTTAAGTTTTATAAATAAAAAAATAAATATTTAAAATTTTTTTAATTTAATTTAACGTGATTAAATTTTAAACTTTTAAATATCAAGATATTAGTATAAAAAAATAATAAAAAAATAATGCTTTCGGTGGCCACTACTGGACCAAACAATGTGCAGCCGATTGGAAAGAACGAATAAAAATCACTTGTACTGTGTATTGAATCTAATTTTTAATTTTTTTTTTCTTCTCCTAACCATCATCATTTGATAAAACAAAACATTGAAAACATCTCTTTTTAGCAACTTCTCGAAGCACAGATCTCGGCAAACTAAAGGTGTAAGGTTCTAAGCTTAATCATAAAATCCATGTCTCAATAGATTGACTAGCTAATTAGTTAATTAAAAGTTTTGCTTACTTTATTGGTTAAATTTAAACTTTCAAGTTTATTTTTTGCTACATTATTAGTCGACCCAAAAAAAAAATTAAAGTATTTCACCTAATAAATCATCATATATTAAAATGTAAATTTAATCATACATACCCCACCAGCAAAGTCAAAATATCACTAGGTTAACATCGAAAAATCATAATGAAAGGCTTAATTATACACTAGATTTCTATTGCTTGGAAGTTGGAACATCGACACTTGTACACCAAAAAATAGTAATAGATTAGTGCTCAAAGAGTCAAAACACCCCACCTGACCAAATATTATCTTAACAGAATTAACTAACAACTTCTAGTGGTATTACTATTAACTAATTGGTGGATTAGCAACATTTGAGGGTGGGTTAAACATTAACCTAAAAATAATTGACACTATAACCACAATCCCAGTCCACAACCACAACAACATTCCACCAACTTCTGATAATTTTTACGACTACTTTTGAGTTTAGTGCACAACTAGGCCGACAATACTAAACAAGCTAACAATCTTTGAGCTCTTAATTAAATTCATAAATTAATATCTAATTTAAAATCAATTAATAATAAATTAAGTATATACAATTTAAAGACAAATTAAATATGTCTAGAAATATAACATTGTATTTAAGTACACATTATTCAGTTTGATCTTATCTCACCTTTGTGGGATTTTCCCAACTGTTAT